GAATTTTGCATACACAACATGATAGCAGGGATCCATCCTGCCTTGTATCTATGATGTCTGTGAGTCAGGCTGGTGGTGGTGGAATAGTGTGGAGGATACCACAGTGACCACAGTGTAACTATAGTCAGGTGTTTACAGCATGATAACACATCATGGCACAAAACTCAAAAAAAATCTCAAACTTGTTGTCAGTGACAGTGTATCAAAATCACCTCGACAGAACTCAATGCAAGTGAGCACCTTTGGAATACGGTGGAATCATCAGTGTGCAGTTGACAGTGTGCAGCAACTGTGTGACGCTATCACGCGAATATGGACAAAACTTTTCAGGAATGTTTCCAGCAACTTGTGGAAATTATGCCACAAAGAAATTCGAGGCACTTCTGCAGGCAAGAAACGGTCCAACCTTTGAACAAAGTGTAACTAATAAACTGTCTTGTGAGTGCATATAGGGCTCTTTATATCCTTGCATGCACTAGTCCTATCAAGAGCTTTACATGCTTCAGTCTGAGATGTGGAGACTGAATGCAAAACATGTTTGCTCTGAGTGGAAGTTGCCAGGTGTTTCCTATTACACATCTAAGAACAGAGGATCTTTATCATGAATTTAGACAGCTGAAATTATATTAGCCGGGTAGTTAACCTCCTAATGGATTTCCTATTCACTTCCACCAATGACCCTCAGTCCCAGAGTGCTGCACTTCTTTGGCGCAACATCAAAAAAGTGCATAACGATCCTGGGCATATGCTCTATAAAATCCGATAGACCGCTTGATGTTATTATTTCGCTCTTTGAAGTCATGACCCTCAGGTTATGTGTGCTATAGATTATTCTTTAAATCAAGACTCACAGGGGATCGGTGTTTTCTTCACCAGAAACGAATAAACCTGAAAAATGAAAAGTTCCTGCACAGCTTCTCTCAAAATCCTAGCTGGGAGGCCAAAGAGAAGACGCAGGCAACCGTAGGCTAACATAACAGAAGGAGAGTATGTCTTGGGACAAATTGAAACCACCCGCAGGTCGATGGGTGACTGACTGGATGAGTTACGGTGGGCTGAAGAAGATAAAGGTCAGGGCACTGCAGTAGACACTGGAGCTGCGTCTAGCTTGGCTAAGAACATTAGCACTGTGGATAATAGATTACAGATGGATGATCGAGCAAGCAGGAGTGTGGCAGCTAGGTATGGATGTGTCATTGGCCAGTACATGATTTTGCATGGAGACTTTATTATATAACCATAATTTGTTTTGATATTATCAATTTTCTGGGCTTTCAGAATATGAAAGGACAGGAAATAAATGCCATAACACTAACTAACAACACATTTATTTAGGGACTGCACAAATATGAGCAGAGACAGAAGAGAGTGAGAAAATAAAAACTATAAAGGTTTAATTTTATGGCTAAACTATCAGAAACTTTTAATGTTTTATTTCACTTATAAATGTGACTTTCAGTCTACATCCCACCCACCATCACACTTCCCCTACCACAACAACCAGCACCAGTAATTTCCCAACAGTCCCTCACTGAGAAATGTTGCAATAGGATCGCTTTCCCTTAAAAAAAATACAGTATTTCAAAATGTTTTGCACGTCAAGCTTGTGTCTATACATGCATGCATGGAAAACAAACCTTTGTGCTTTTCTGTGGCGAGTACACAAACCTTAGGCAGACAGATAAATGGCCTGCCAGACGCC